CTGAGCTACATAGTTCTTTTTTCAGAAGCGACCTGGCTATCTGAAATGATAGCTCAAGGAAGTGGCTCATCATCATCACGTGGGCCATGTACACCAGTAGCCAAACACTCCAAACGCGCACAACATCTGTTTCCGGGCCCCCAATGAGCCCGCGCCACCGCCACGGTGAACGTGCTCCATCTCCAAAGAGCACGGCCCACGAATCGCCCTGGCCCCAGAATGCAGCCCCCCCAGTCGTCTCGTCCCCTCGCAGGTAGCTAAAGCCGCCCCCCCCCCCCCCGCGCATCCGCCATCGCTTCGCTTGCGCCGCTGCGGAATCTCAGCGTCGGTACCGGCGCTGAGATTCCGTAGCGTGCTTCTCCCGTTCCCCTGAATAGGCGGGGGGGGGGGGGGGGGGGTCGCGTTGCCCGCCCGCACTCCAGCCGTGGCTGCGAGCGCAGGGCACGAGGGAGGATCGGCGGCAGCCGCTCGGGTTGTTCATTCATTCCAACGTTCCGCCCCGCGCGGTGTAAATTGCGTGCGGAGACGCGCGCCGCCGAGATGATCTTCGACGTGGCCTTCGAGTTTCCCGCGTTGCGCGCTCGAAGTTGCGACTCCTTTTCGTGCCAGAGTCATCCGCCACGGTGGCCTCGCACACTTTATTCGTTTCGCGGTTCCGCGAAAACATTTCTTCGCGTGCACAAAATGCAGGCCGCGTCGCGGTTTGCGCGGCGCACGCACCACACAAACGCCACGTGCGGTCGCTTTGACAATCCGCTGGTGCATGAGGAGGGCTTGCCTACAAGCGCACCGGTCATGGGGGGGGGGGGTTGTTTGGTCATACTTCGCCGTGCTGGTGAGTGCGGGTTGGTGAAGGGGGGGCGGTGGGTGCCCGCCGCAGACTTGTTCAAAGATCACTCGCTGCTGACGTTCGACTTAGCCGGGAATCGAACTTGGGTGGCTGGGCTCAGAGTGCAGTGTGCTCAGAATGTGTTTTCTTTATGATCAGAATCTTCATTTAGACTGGAGGAATCCGATGAGCTATGAAGCTCTTCCTGACGGATGTCCATTAGTGCTAACCAGTGTGCACACAAACACACACACACATCTACAGGCCGCTGCTAATCCACTGCCGGATAAGCGTCTATCAATGAGTCGCGGGGGAGTTAGTTGACAAAACATGGTAAGTGCCGATTGTTGAATGCAGGGAGCATGGACACAGGGTCATAGAAAGTAGAGATCAACACTGTTACACTTTCCTATGCTGACCATCATGTCGCCCAGTCCTCGTTCATATAGGGTGAGAGTCGCATCTGGATGACATGTGACAACACGCTACCTGGGCAGTGTGCCACACTTGTCTGTGACCACACTGTGAGTACCTTTGTATCATTTCCTATTGAACACGAGCACACACACACACTAATGTCAGAATCAGAATGTTTATTTATACTGGAGGAATCCGATGAGCTATAAAACATTTTTTTTTTACAGATGTCCAGTAGGGGCACGGGGTAAGACTGTTGCAACAACAATCAGCACAAACACACGATAGGAGTACTAAGTACAGGAAAGGTAAACAAATCCATACTCTGGTTCTTTCGGTAAAGTCACGTAGGTCGAAAAATAATAATAGATCACGACTTTTCGATCGCAACACAAGCAATCGTCATCATGCTAAAGTAGGCCTACTTCAGCAGTTTTTTCTTGCTGTGGTTGTCCCACCTGAAGACGGTTGCTTGTGTTGCGATCGAAACGTCGTGATCTATTATTATTATTTTCTACCTACGTGACTTTACCGAAAGAACCAAAGAGTATGGATTCCTGCAGTCACGAAAGCTTCAAATCAAGACGCACAAATAGAACAACTAAACCATCTCCATCTTACCAGGCCAAAGCCCACTGAGGTATTCACTTGTTTTTCAGAAGCAACCTGGCCACAAATGAGAGCTCGACAAAGTGGCACCATCATTTGGATAATATATAGCGCTAAAATAATCTAAATAATCTCAATCTAGGTGAGATGGTATCTCCCTTCGCCTGCTACGCAGCGGGGGGGAGATCGTGGATTCGATCACGACCCTGACGAGGACGCCTCTTGTATATTTGGATTCCGCGTGTTATCTTCTCTCTCTGTCCCTCTCCCCGTGACGATCTCGGGGATTTTTTATTCACGGGGGTCCTCCAATTCTGCCACCATCCCCATTTAGAAACAACATCGCGCGTTCGGATTATTTGGAGGCTGCTATAAATTGCCACGCATAATCATGACGATCTTGTGTGGCGAGGTCGCCTCTGAAAAAATATATAATATCTCGGTGGGCTTTACCTGCGAAGTAAAGGTGTTTATTTTTGTTTGTTTTACATATACCGAGAACACTGTGTAGTACATAAGTTACGTGTAATAAATACACGTAACTTATGTCGAACATGTAATTGACGAGCAGAACCCGTCATCACAACATCATCACAACATCTACAACTATTTCAGGCCGGAAAACCATGAGTTATGCACAACACGCAAAAAAAAACGAGTCCAGCAAAGCATATACCTCCCCCCCCTCTTTGTGGACTATGCAAAAAATCGTAGCAGCTGTTCCTGACGGGCGGCAATGCGGTTGTGCTTATCGTAGGCCTCCATCGAATATATTTGAACAGACAGGGCAGCCGTGACGCACAAGTAGACCGGCTTCGTCGTTATTGAGACTCGTCGGCACTGCGTTATCGCCGCCCAAACGCCCGCTGCTGCAAAGTCGTCTGTCTCTGGCCAACCATATTACAGGGTGCTTCAAAAAAATGTTAACGCTCCCATGGGACTATCGTTTTGAATGGGGAAAAAACGGCTAACACATTGTAACATGGTAACGAATGTAATGTTAATAGCTCCACTTGTCCGCCGTCGTCGTCAACACATTGCCTGGAATCTTCTTCAGGTGGTCTCTAGGGCCCGGAGGCAGCAGCACATTTCGTGAAGGTATTGTTGCAATTTATCAAAAGTGTTAACATTTTTTTGAAGCACCATGCACATAAATATGTATGGCTAAGGCCCTCTCACTTCTACTGGAATGGGGACCGTGCGTACAGGTATTGATTGCTTTTTTGCATGCATTGAATGTCGTTGATGATCGCAACTTGCCAGAACTTTTCAGTTAGCAGAACCAGGACTCTCCTCTCCCTACGGAGTGCAACAAGCCAGGGTTTAGATTTTTTTTTACAGTGTGCATGGCAATCTGCCTCCTCGGATTCGTAAATCGTGATTACAAAGTCAAAGATGATAATGCGAGAGTGTGTGTGTGTGGCGACGCCCTGTTGATTTATCAGCTTAGGGCTGGTTTTTATTATCGATGCCAGTCAAACACACCCAGGCACCCGCAGGGCTTTGCTCATGCGTGGGCACAACTGCATTGTTGTGCTTGCATTGAAGGGCAAAGCACTCAGAGGTGACTGGCAAACAGGTGAAAGCCTAATTATGGCAGTTTTGAGAAACCAAAAAGAAGAAAATCTGGTTTTTTTTTAACCCTGTTGTCCTTAACTCCTTAACTTTAAACGTGAGGTAATGTCTAAGTATCTTCCTTTCAAGTGAGGCACTGAATGAGACCACTTTTCAAAAATTGCACGTCTTGTGTGTGTGTGCAGAGCCATGTGAGAGTGAGTGTGTGTGTCCGTGTGTAGCTGTATGTGTGTGTGTCCGTGTGTCCGTGCGTGTGTGTGTCCGTGTGTAGCTGTGCGTGTGTCCGTGCGTGTGTGTCCGTGTGTAGCTGTGCGTGTGTCCGTGCGTGTGTGTGTCCATGCATAGCTGCACGTGTGTGTCTATCCTTGTAAGGGAGCTGTGGTCCAGCAGTTAGCGCGCTGCGCTACAAACTCGGCGAACCCGGGTTCGATTCCTGCTCACGGCCAACACCAGTGACGATTATCTCAACCGGTCCTGGGCCTCCCCTAGGTCGACTCGGAATCAAATGAGCACCCGGTGCAATATATAATCATCGCCACTGGAGAGACAAAGGCGGTCGGGCGTGGTGCTGTTCACTCACCCCCTCGTGTGCTGTGCCGGCCTTCATACAGGTGCCCGCTAAAAGCACTTGTCCCAACAGTCTGCTAAGGCTACACGGGGGATCTTTGTCTTTGTCCGTGTGTACTGGTTGCAGAGCATATCGCAGTGGTGGTCAGTGAGCGCAGCGCGAACTACAAACCCAGTTTTCCAGGTTTAACTCCTGGCTATGCGCAGCAAGGTGCCCGTGCGGGTCGGGTGGTGCACTAATCCCGATTTGAAACTCCGCCAGGTCAACTCGGCCTCAAATGAGTGCCTGACACAATGTGGGCCCACACCGGTTCAGAATGCACGAGGTCTGTGCGGCTGAACCGGCGCCGGGCCATGCCGCCTTGCTCATGGCCATGCCAGCCTAAGTGGCCCTCACTAACAGCGCTTGCTTGACAAGTCCAGAACGCCGGGCAGGTGATCTTCATCTCTGCTAAAAAAAAAATTGTGCGTAGGCGGTTGTGTGCGGGACTTACTTTGGATAAAAGGCAGCGATGTAACCGCCTTAACACGAGACTGCAGAGTGAGTGACACGCGCTCTGCGTCTCTCCACCAGACCCCTCGCCACCATCGTCACTCACACGCTGCTTTGAATTGGTTCTGAGAGCTTTTGACTGTGCACAGTCGCACAGCGTGGCCGGCGCAAGACGTGTCCGTCCGTCCGTCCGTGCGTGCGTGCGTCTACCCATCTGTCGTTCCACCAGATCCCTCACCATGATGCTTTAGCTCGGTCCTACGATCCTCGGGCCTGCACAACGTTACAAAGTGTGGCCAGTGCGAGTGCATGACGCGTCCGTGCGTCCGTCCGTCCGTCCGTGCGTGCGTGCGTGCGTCTACCCATCTGTCTGTCCGTCCAACAGATCTCTCATCACCGCCATCGCCATTAACGAGACGCTTTAGCTCGGTCCTACGATCCTCGGGCCCGCGCAAAGTCGCGCGGCGTGGCCGGTGCGAGTGCATGACCGCGCGTCCGTGCGTCCGCCAGATCTACCGGCACGGGGAGCTGCAGCACTTTGTGGACGGCTGGGACGTGAGCCGCAGCAACTGGATGCGCTTCGTGAACCCGGCGCGGTCGCGGCGCGAGCAGAACCTGGTGGCGTGCCAGCACGGCGCCGACGTCTTCTTCTACACGCTGCGCGGGGTCTCCCCCGGGCGCGAGCTGCTCGTGTGGTACTCGCCAGAGTACACGCGGCGCATGGGCCAGGCACACCACCGGCTGCAAGGTGAGCGAGCGTGCTGAGCGGCGCAAGGCGAGCGCCGTGGTGTTGCGCTGCGGCGAGCGTCGGTGTGGTGAGCGCTGTGGCGAGTGGTGTAGTGAGCGATGCGGCGAGCGGTAGTTACGCTGAACTTTCATGGCACAGGCTCGCCGGCTGCAAGGTTAACGGCCCCGGCGAGGATTCATGATGCAAAAATATGCAGTGAGGAAAAGAGGTCCTCTTGAGCCCGTGGAGTGGTGAAGCAGCATATCGTTCCTTCGCAGCTGGCGATCAAAGCTGCGTCCAAATTGTTATTTTAGCGCCGATTTGAGACTTTTTCAACGGACGAGAGTAATTCAGGTCCTCGCTTCGACATTCGCTCTCGGAAAGAATTGCTGGGTCACAGCCTGACATGGTCAGTACTTGTGTGCACATTTAATTAAGTGCAGTGATAGTCATATCACGAGGACAAAATTCCACTTAAAAAAAAAAAGTCCAAATGCACCAGTTGTCCGTGTTGCGCAAGCGTTACACGTGTGTCTAACAATGGATAGTTTGTATTCCAAATAGAAGGGAATTAAGGAAAAGCTGCGTAAAATATGAAATGGGTGACCAGAGATATGCATGTGGCCCTCGTATAGCAAAACAAGTATTTCCACACCTGCACATTAACAGAGTAAACTCTTCATAGCTTTGCATTGGCATTTCACCTTCCTGGTTAGGACTGCCTTTTGAAGAGATCGTAATCTCAATGGAGCCTTCCAGAGACACAAAGCATCGTTCACATGAACATACACAGGAGCGTGTATGCATCAAACACACAAGACAAAGATCCCCCGTATAGCCTGCATATACTGTAGTTTGTTGCGGCAAGTGCTGCTAGTGAGCACCTAATGAAGGCCAGCACTGTACACGAGGAGGTGGGTGGCCAGAACCACGCCCGTCCGCCTTTGTCTCCCCATTGGTGAGATTTACACACCGCACCAGGTACTCATTTGAGGCCTAGTCGACCTAGGGGCAGGCCCAAAACCGATTCAGATATTCGTCACCGTTCTTCGCAGTGAGCGGGAATCGAACTCGGGTCGCTGGGTTCATAGCACAGCGCACCAACTACTGCCCACATGCATACATGCTGTACACAGGGACAAAGATCCCCCGTATAGCCTTAACAGACTGTAGGGGCAAGTGCTGTTAGCGAGCACCTATGAAGGCCGGCACGGCACACGAGGGGGTGGGTGGCCAACACCACGCCGGCCGCCTTTGTCTCCCTCTTGGCGATATTTACACATCGTACCAGGTACTCATTTGAGGCCGAGTCGACCTAGAGGAGGCCCAGGACCGGTTCTGATAATCGTCACCGGTGTTGGCCGTGAGCGGGAGTCGAACTCGGGCCGCCAGGTTCATAGCGCAGCGTAGCGCTAACCACTAACCGCCACACACGGACAAAGACACGTACACACACACACACCTACACAAGGGTTAGTAAAAAAAAGTCACATTAAGCTAATGTTAAGTGTCTTGTCAAACTTTAGATTATCGATAATGCATCGACACTTTTGTTTATTCCCAGAGGGAAAAGACCATGGGGAACACCTAAGGGCTGATGGTGGGACACTGTAATAATATATAACTTACGAGGTGGGCTATTGAATATGCAAAGCTTTGTACTCTGGCAGAAGGAAAGAAGTGATAGTAAGGTATATTAGCATGAACCAAATTATCTGCGATGACCTTTCGACTTTGACCAAAAGGATGTATGGATGTTGAACTTATTTCGCACCGGACATTGCTAACCTCACTAATCGGAGGTTCGGGGGAAGGACAACAATCTAAACACAAAAAGCAGTTCTCAAGAAATGAGTTTTCAATCAAGATGATTTTCCAGTGGCTTCCTAAAATAGGTGATCTTGAGGGTGACCATCGTCAATAATATTTAAAAATTGTGGGCCTCTATGTACATATAATACACCGGACTGATAGCGGTTACATACACCTGAGCATGTTGGCGATAATAACACGTTAACGCTCCATTGTCTCGGTGCCACGTGAAACATTCTGCGTACAAAATGGCCGCCGTATTACACGAGTCGCCTGTGGTTGTTACAATGAGTCCTTATGAGGGTGAAAGCCATCTCTTATCTCTTCTCTCTCTCTCGTGCTACCAGATGTCTTGATTTGAAGCTTTCGTGACTGCAGGAATCCATACTCTTTGTTTCTTTCAGTAAAGTCACGTATCTTTCAGTGAAGTCACGTATCTACGTGACTTTACCGAAAGAACCAAAGAGTATGGCTACAATCTAAATGGCACTCCTTTTAAACACATATTTGTTGAGAATACATTTTGATGAGGTAAAAAAAAAACCTCCCATCATTGTCCGCCATCATCTATCCACTGCTGGATGAAGGCCTCCCCAAGCTCTAGGCCATCGCTCTCTCCTCTTGCGGTGTAAAAAAACTCTGCACGAGCTCGGTTCGTCGCCCCATCTCCGCGGTGGGCGAGCCCCTCGCGTGCATTCTCACCCTTGGCTGCTGCTCCATCGTTCGTCTTGACCCGCTGGCCATCGTCCAGAATTTCAAAGCAACGCTACAAAACATAACTGTGCACAAATATATATTTGTGCTTGTACGAGTTTCAAATATACGTATGTACCTTGGACTTCTTTTACACCGTACGTAGACAACCCTGCTAATCGGCGGTGCATTAATACGCAGGTGTGCATTATATAATTAAGGAAATTTCGTGATGGTCCCCCGATGAACCATTCCCTCACTCCGTCTCGATAGAAACGTGCTGCAACAAACGTTGGTTGACTAAACTAAGCCGTTAAACTCATTTTTTTCTTCCAGGTAAGGCCTACTGAGCTATATAGCTTTTTTTTAAATAAAAAAAAAAACCCGGCCACAAATGATAGCTCAAATAAGTGGATTATCGTCGTGTGGAAATTTATAGCAGCCAAATACTATAAACGGATGTTGATTTTAAATGTGCAGGGAAAAACCGGACGACCCAGAGAAAAATGCAAATGACCACGGGGAGAACATGCAAACTCTAAATATGCAGGTGTCAGAGTCTGCATCGAACTCACGGCTTCCTGTTGACCAGGCAAGGCAGTTAACATCTCGCCACCGTCGCACCCAATTTTTGCGAGCACCTATTGAGGCTGGAAAATCACACAAGCGAGAAGTGGAATCAATGGCATGCACTCCCCGCTGTCTTTGTCTTCTCGCAGCTGGCATGTGTGCAAATACCCACAATGCACGCTGGATAAATGTATTCGCAATGCAAAGGGCCACGCATGATGGTGATGGTGATCATGATGACAGGGCCACGGTACCGGGGAAGCGACCCAGCCACAAATGACAGCTCAACGAGGTGGCTTGTCGCGCGGAAGTTTACAGCGCGCGGTTTTCGTTTGTTTGAAATCGCCAAATCCCAACGCGCTTTTATTTAGTTGTTTTCTCCGCCCCCCCCCCCCCCACCCCCCATCTCTCTCTCTTGCCATGCGCAGACTTGCTCGACCAGTCCCACCCCACCACGGACATGGAGCCGCGGCGGCCGAGCTCGAGCCGCGGTGACGCGCGCAGCAGCCCCGGCGCGCAGAAGGACGGCGGCAGGGCCGTCGGCTTCGGCAAGCGGCCGGGCGGCGACGTCGTGTGCCCTCACCCGCGCTACCCCACGGGATCCTCCTACAACGGCGGCGGCGGCGGCGGCGGCGGCGGCGCGGGAACCCAGAGCCACGTGCCGTTCAGCGTCGACGACCTCATGAGGCCCGACCAGGCGAAGCTGTCCGGCAAATTCACGGCGAGGTTACCGTCTTCTCAGTACCCCTCCGCCGCTCACCACCACCACCACCGGCACACGCCACACGACGTCTCCTCCACCTCGGCTCCGGCCAAAGCGGCGGGGTACCTGCCGCACGTCGCCCGGGCGTACCCGGGCCAGGAGGGCCTCGGCGGCATCTTGGCTCAGCCCCGCATGCCGTTCTTGCCCCAGCCGTTCCTGCGGCACCCCGCCGAGCCGTTCCCCCTCCCGCCGTCGTACCCGCCGGGCGTCGGCGCCCCCCACGACTTCGGCGGCAAGTTCTTCCTGCTGCAGGGCGGCATCGGCGCCCTCAACGGCATGCACGTGCCCGTGCCGGACATGTACCACCGCGTGTACGGCCAGCCGCTCAAGAGCGGAGCGCCGCACCACCTGGTCCTGCCGCAGTCGATGTTCCCCCACCCGAGGCCGGCGGACAAGGGCCCCGGCCGCGAACCGGCGCCCGCGCCGTCCCACAAGCCGGGCCGGCTCGTCCCCGCGCCCACCAGCGCCTTCTCGCAGCCGGTGCACGCCCACAAGGAGAACGCGGCCGCGGGTTTCTGCCACGCCTCGTCGGCCGCTCGCCCGCCGCCGGGCGCGTTCGCCCCCGGCGGTTACGCGATCCCCTACCGCGGGTCGCCGGCCCGCACCCCGGCCGTCTACTCGCCCTCCGCGCCCTTCCAGCTGACGTCCGCGGCGGCGGAGGGCGGCGGCGGCGGCGTCCACCGCCTGCCGTCGCGCTCGCCCTACGGCGGCAACCCGGCGGGCGCGCGCCGCCGCTCGCCCGGCGGCGGCGTCGTCCGCGCCACGTCGTCCGCGTCGCCCGACTCGTCGTCGTCGTCCGCGTCGTCGTCGTCGCTGCTGCTGCTGTCGTCGTCGTCGTCGTCGTCGGTCGCGGGCGACGCCCTCGAAGGCGCCTCGCGATCGCTCGGCGGTTCGCGAGTGACGCACCACCACCTGGGCTACCGCTCGCTGCCGTACCCGCTCCGCAAGCACAACGGCAAGATCATCTACGAGTGCAACGTCTGCCGCAAGACCTTCGGCCAGCTCTCCAACCTCAAGGTGGGGACGCGTCGTGGGACGGCCCTCGGAGTGACCGCCGTTTGGCCATTGGCGGCGGCGCCGCGCGGTCGGAGGTCGTGTGTCGACGCCAGGCCTGCGGACGTCCCTCTCCGGACATCTGCGAAAAGTGCTTCATAGCTCAGCGGATTCCTTGCGCTTAAATAAATATTCTGATTCTGATTCTCTCCTGGTGGATTTGATGTGAATATAAATTGTCTCCCCCCCCTCCCCCCTGCGGAGGGTTAGATTCTGGCAATTTCTCTATCCAGCGACATTATGGACAAAAACGATATGAGCGCACTCATTGGCCCTCTGTCAATCCTCCTGCTGGATGAAGGCCCTCCTGATGCTGTGCCGCTCGTTGGGGTTGTTTGACCGTTCTTCACCACGCTGGTAAAGTTCCGATTTTTCGCCCGTCAATGTTGGCCGAGCCTGCGAATGGGACTCGTGAAGTTCGTCGTGCGATTGGGTGGAATCGCTGCACCACCGTTGCCCCCCCCCAACATTTCCATAGATGTAAAAACGCAAGAAAATGGATCCGTGCGCGCCCGCTATTTTTAACGCGTTTTTTTGTTTTCCCTAATTCGCAAATTCCCATACAGGTCCACTTGCGGGTCCACAGCGGTGAACGGCCGTTCAAGTGCCAGACGTGCGGGAAGGGCTTCACGCAGCTGGCTCACCTGCAGAAACACCACCTGGTGCACACCGGAGAGAAGCCCTACCAGTGCCAGGTAACGGGGCAGCCGTGGCCGTCGGGTGCGGGGTCCTCAACCACTCCCCACTCCCCCCCCACGCACCCGCAACAAAAGACGAAGATTCTCCCCTCCTAGCCTTTACAGGTTTTTGGGGGCCAGTGCCGTTAGCGAGCAGCACCGCCTACGAAGGGGGTGGCCAGCACCACGCCCGGCCGCCTTTGTCTCCCCGAGTGGCGATGTTTACACACCGCACCAGGTACTCATTTTAGGCTGAGTCGACCACGGGTGCAGGCCCAGGACCGGTTCATTTAATCATCGCTGGTGTTGGTAACTGTGAGCGGATATCGATACTCGGGGGTTGCCGGGTTGGTAACGTGAACACACATACCTCGGTCACTTCTCGCCACAACAAGAAGTCCCTTGCAGTGACGTGCGTGTGCTATTCATGCGCACGTAATTTTTTCGAGGCAGTGCCGAGCCGGAAACTCGTATGGCCGTCTTGAGAGGGCCCGAGTCAGCAGCCGCGGGAACAGTCATGGGTGGCTTGAGGGCCGCCGCATGCACCGGGCATCGGCTATCAACGCACGCTTGTGCTGGGACGGGCAGAAGCCTTAGAGGTGCACGGTCAGGCTAATCTGCGATGGGTGCAACCAAAACGCCTCTAGGGTCTTTTTGAAGGGGGTAGGTCCTGCTGTGGTCTAGCGTATGAAATTAATTTGCGTGCTCTTAAACACAGAACAGGAGACGCTGCGCCACCAGGTACAGGTCACCGTACAACCAGCAAAGTTTTCCTTCACATTTCCAGTGCAAGTGATATTTTTAAACTCACATTTTTCTTTTTTTTTGGTGGCAGGCTTTAGCGACCAATATCAATAGAGGTTTCTGTTGTGTTAGATCGCGTAAATATATAAACGTCGTACTCCGATTGTAAATGTTGTGGCTCTCCAACATGCCGGTGTGCTGTACTAGTGACGAATTGGCACGTTCTGTTTACGTGACAACCATTACTAGTTGGCTGTGTCAGGTGGTGGCGGGTTTTAACGACACACATATTTACACGATCTAACCCAAAAACCTCTTATGAATTTATTATTTACGAGGTAAGGCCCACTGAACTACATAGCTCTTTTTCAGGAGCGACCAGGCCACAAACCATAGCTCATCGAAGCGGCTTATCACGTGGAAATTTAGAGCAGCCAAATACTCTTATTGCATGTTTCTAAAATGTTGAGGGGAAAACCGGAGAGAATAACCCAGGCGACCACGGGGAGAGAGCATGCAAACTCCAAATATACTGGCGTCAGGGTAGTGAACATCTCATCACAGCGGCAGCCCATTTTTGTGGGCACCTATTGAGCCTGGAAAATCACGTTAGTGAGAAGTGGAATCAATGCCATGCACCCCTGGCTGTCTTCATCTTCATATTAAAACTTTAGTGACTGCAAAGAATCTGAATATTCATATTAAATGCCCAACAATGCACGCTGGGTACAGGGCCAAAGCATGGACATAGAATTATCTCTGATGGTGATGATGAATTAAAACTTTCCGTGGTTGACGTGGGTCTCGGTGCAAGGAATTCAATGGGCCCACCACCCCCTCGTCCAATCTCCACCACTCATTAGCCCAACACAGGGGCTCCTCGTTGGCACCCGGCACAGTTGCACCGCCTACGCACTCGATAGCTATGCCACGGGCCGGGAATCAACACACGCACGGCACTACGTTCACGGCGGCAGGCAAAATTGGCTCTTGAGCACGCGGCCCCCCGAGCTGAACGCGATGTTACCCGAGGTGGGCACGAGTGGGCAACAAAGTCAAAAACTGAAAGTGTGGCATGCGGCACGCTGCTACTCGCCGTCGAATTCTGTGCACGGTGTCGTCAAGTTGGCGACTGCCAGCGCCAGTCCTTCCGCCGGACATGCGCGCCCTGATAACCAAAGAGCTCGGCAAAAAACGGTGCCATGCCGGTAACACCCATGGGCGGCTACGTACGGTGCGAAAGATGTTCAATGTGCACACGTTCCGCGAGCGTGAAGTCGAACCGGAGCAGAGCCCGGGGTATATGAACATTTAAAAAAAAAAATCCAGACACACGTTGTAAGAAGAAGTAGAAGGACGGGCAATTTGCTGTCGCTGGGGTTATCGGTACCACCCGCCATGGCGCGGGCAAGTTGTGGCAAGCCCCGTGCTGGCGAAGACATCCGCGCGCACATTGTTGAGAGGCGTTTTAAGATTCGAGGCTGAGGGTGGTGGTGCTGGTGACACAGGCGAACGGCACATAGCAACACAACCTAAAAATACTCCCTTCCTCATTGTTATTAAGGCGCGCTCGGGCTATTGAAAGAAAAAAAAAACCCCAGATCCTGATAGGCGGGATGTTTTATGGTTATTAAACGACTGGCTGAGGCTGCCCGGGCGCATTTGTTTGCAACCAGAAACTTTTGCTCGGGCCGTGACAAAATTTGATTATCTTTTCACCTGCGTGTCGGAGGGGAATGGCGAGACGCTTAAGGGGGCACGGAGAGGGCGGCGGCGGGGGGAGGGGGGGGGGACTGTGAAGGCGATGGCGTAAGACACAACGTGTAATCGCCGAGTGTGCGCCTTTCACACCGCTGTGATCGCGAGAAATGTACTCCAGAAGTTCAAGCACACCGTGAGAGTGTGTGCACAACGCCAGCAGCGCTCCGAACTCTACGGCTCTTCATAATTGTTGGCGGTTTCTCCGTGCTAATTATCTATGTAGTTGTTCATTCGGTTTCACTCATGTCCACGCAATCCCGAGCGAGATCGCACCTGGCGAAGCGGCAGGGGCTCGCTCACCTTGTAAGCCTCGACGGCACGAGGAGAGCGATTACCTCGCACGGCGCACACCACTCGCGCGCGACGGCAGAGATCGCTCGCGCCGTGTGTCCGTGCCTTGCTGATGACTCCCAAAAGATTTAATCCTCTGGGGTGGGGGGGGGCATTGTGGACAAACACAATCCATTTTTCCTTGTCAACTGCTTCCTTTGCCTTTTTGTAAATGGGATAACAAAGCTGAATTACAACGTGGGCCTTAATTGGCGACGGAAATCCATGCTGCAAGGGTGACCCGCGTGGCTTGCAGTCCCTGCCTTCTTGAATTAACGCAAGCACAAGAATGAACGACAGACGTGGGACTCCGAGTTGTATTTAACACAGCACAAGAATGAACGACAGTGGTGGAACTCCGAGTTGTATTTAACACAGCACAAGAATGAATGACAGTGGTGGAACTCCGAGTTGTATTTAACACAGCACAAGAATGAATGACAGTGGTGGAACTCCGAGTTGTATTTAACACAGCACAAGAATGAATGACAGTGGTGGAACTCCGAGTTGTATTTAACACAGCACAAGAATGAACGACAGTGGTGGAACTCCGAGTTGTATTTAACACAGCACAAGAATGAACGACAGTGGTGGAACTCCGAGTCGTATTTAACACAGCACAAGAATGAATGACAGTGGTGGAATTCCGAGTTGTATTTAACACAGCACAAGAATGAATGACGGACGTGGGACTCGGAGCTGTACCTGACTCAGAAATATTTAAAAAAACACCAGAATAAGAATTGTGCCACCTAGGATGCCCTATTCATCATGATTTTAAAGAGCACTCGTCATGTTGCTCAAGAGCGTGTGGGTTGAAATGAGTGACAAAGCAAAGGCGACTGTGCACTGCCCTGCATTGTTGAGGATTCCGATGTTTTTTCTGCTGGCCAAAGTTATTATTATGTTTTTGTTTGCGCGAAGCATGCGGTCTAATTTGTACTTCGGAGAACTGGGTTAGGCAAGGCCAGCGTAAATGGGAAAGGAGTGTTGTGAAAAACGCAAGTGCAATAAATCGTGAAAAGTGACAACCGCAGACGCCCACATACGCTCACACACCCCATCTGCAGCCAAAGACAAAGATTCCCCATATAGCCTTGACAGATTGTTGAGGCAAGTGCTGTTAGCGAGTACCTAATGAAGGTGACACATCCGCAACACACGCTCTCTATTCTCATGCACACCCACACACACACATCTATCCCCAACACACGCAATCACACCCCATTCACACACGCGCATACATACCACGCGACCACGGCGTGAACATGCAAACTCCAAATATACAAACGTCAGGGTTGGCCCACTGAGCTATGTAGCTCTTTTTCAGAAGCGACCTGGCCACAAATGATAGTTCAACAAAGTGGCTTATCACGTGGAAATGTATAGCAGCCAAATATTATAAACGCATTCATAAATGTGGAGGGAAAAACCAGAGGACTCGGAGAAATATCCACGAGGACCACGGGTAGAGAGAGAGAGACACGCAAACTCAAAATATACAGCAGCAGGTGTCAGGGTTAGGATCGAAGCCACAACCTCTTGTACACCTGGCGAGGTAGTTAACATCTCACCACCATGGCGTCATTGCAGGTCAGTGAAGGAAGGGTTGGGGGTGGCACAAGACCGGTTTAGATAACAACTCTCTTCACTCTTGTCAAGCCCGGCCACGGAATCCAACTCGGGACACCAGGTTCAACGCGCAATGCACTCTGCGCGGATACACTACCAGACCGCCCTTTCCGTATGCATGCGTAAAAAGTTGCGAACAATGGTGAAACAAATGACGTACACATTGCAGATAAAATTCCCACTAAGAAGCCAGAAATACGTCAATATACATTTTTATTAGAATAGGTGGGGTGGTGGTAATTATTTTTAATAATATTTAATTATTAATTAGCAATGCCAATTTTGAATATTGCGAGCCACGTAACCTGTTGGACGCAAAACTTGACGTCGCTATTATTATTATTTTTTTATTACAAAATAACCCCACAATTAACGCGAGATAAACTCTGCGTGTTTTTGATTTCCACGGAACTCGGCTGTGCAGTGCCGACGAGCCTGCAACCACCGCCCACTCGCGTTCACCGGTGTCACGTGTTTCCCAGTGCTCCCTGCGCTTGTGTTGCGACGGCTCTTACCGCGCTCTCTTTTGCAACGCTGAACGCGAGGACGGACGTGCAGGAGGAGAATGCAGCTTGTGCTGGTCCGGGGGTTCGCGGGTGCCCTTGTGAGGAGGCAAGAGAAACGATGGACCTGATGATTGAATACAGGAGACAGCGGTTCTTGCTCATTGCCAATTATTCACGCAGAAGGGTTTCGGTCCGAGCCGGCGTTGCGATCGTTTGGCCGGTACCATGCACGAGCATTGGCTTATGGGAGGAAACTGGAGTCACCTGGAGAAAACCCAAGCACGTAAGGGGATAACGCTCAAAAGCTCTGCGGCGATAGATTCGAGAATTCACAGCTGTGCTGCCACCTCCTGGCAAGCTTCGCAGCACCTTGATGTCAAAACGTTTTGCATATTTTGCTTCGCTCGTTGACTCTGACGTGTGTCCGCCCCCGCCCCGTCTCACCCCGTCCCTGCCCTGTCCCGGCGGGCCGATTTAGGTTTGCCACAAGCGCTTCAGCAGCACGAGCAACCTGAAGACCCACCTGCGCCTGCACTCGGGCGAGAAGCCCTTCCAGTGCAAGCTGTGCCCGGCCAAGTTCACGCAGTTCATCCACCTGAAGCAGCACCGCCACCTGCACGCTCGCGAGCGTCCACACCGCTGCCCCGGCTGCCAGCAGAGCTACATCCACCAGATCAGCCTGACCATGCACCTCAGAGGTTTCTGCCCGTCCCAGCACAAGCGTGCGACGTCAGCCGAAGCCAGGGGGGGCCCCCTGCCCGCCGACCGTTCCACCGCGGCGACCGACTACGCGACGCTCGCGCCCTCTCAAGACGCCCTCGCGAGCTTCCACCCCGGAGCTGCCGCCGCGCATCCGCCGTCCGGGGCGGCGGGCCCCGGCCAGCTCGCCGGTCCCGGCGGCGCCGACCCCCGGCCGGGCTTCCCGAAGGACCCGCGCCCTGACGTGTCGCCGGAGTACTTGGCGTTGGTGAACCAGAAGATCGAAGCGTTCGACCTCAGCGAGGAGGCCGCGAGAGCCGGGGAAGACTCCAAGGTCGAAGCCCAAGTGGAGGCGAGGATCCTGAGCAGGTTCTGCAAGGCGCTGTCGTTGGAGGGCCGAGCCTTCTCGAGCGCCGACGGGCAGCCGGCGAGGAAATTGACCCAGCGGAAGGAGCAGCAGCAGAGCAATGGACACTCGCCGCCGGACGTCAAAGACGAGCGCAGCGCAACGTCGGTCCCGTCGCCGTCGCCGCCGCCGGTCGCCGGCAACAACGGCGCCATCGGCACCACCGCGGACCAAACTCGACCCTCGCCGTTCGGCAGCAGCGCGGCTGCAGATCGTCACTCCGCCGCGCGAGGAACGGACGATGCGACGGTATTGGCACGTCGGTCTCCCACGGTGCATTCCGGCTGGAGACTGAAGCCGCTGCCGGATTCGCCGTCTTCTCTCAAAATCAAGGAAGAGCATAAGCCGGCCGATGCGTGATTTGTGTCCTGAATGGGAGCGAGAGCACTAGGCGAGTTGGTTCGTGTTTGTTGTTGTTGGGGGGGGGGGGGTTCTTGATTTCAAACATTTATTATGGCACGGTTAATTGGTACAGCCTTTTGTAAGTGGTGTCAATGGGGGGGGGGGGGGGGGGGGGGGGGGGATCGCCCTCCCCCCTCCATACAAAACAATCAAAAGCAAAACAAAGCCTGTGGCCTCATTGCACACCCTGGGCATGTCTCGGCAAAGGCATTTGGAAATGCGCAACTCCACTTTGCTGCGCACGCCTGTCTCTGTGTGTTGTTGTGGTGGTGGTGGTGATGATGTGGGTGAGCAGTGTGGGAGTGCAGCAGTCAGCGCGCTGCGCTACAAGCCCGCTAACCCCCCCCCCCCCCCGGGGTTCGATTCCCCGCGCTCACGGCCAACACCGGTGGTGACGATTATCTGAACCGGTCCTGGGGCTCAACCCCGGTGGGACTTGGCCTCGAACCGAGTACCCGGTGCGTAAAACCATGGCCACTCGGGGGAGAGACAAAGGCGGCCGGGAGCGGTGCCGGGCCACCCACTCCCCCCTAGGTGCTGCTCGTGGACAGGACTTGCCCCAACAGCGCGTTAAGGCTACACGTGGCGGGCGGTGGTGGAGGGGGCTGGGAGGACGGGAGATCTGTGTCTGTGTATTTTACGATGATGTCATTTTCCTTTGGGAGCCCCCTCCACCCCAATTGAGGTTGACTTACCGAGCTCCACCCTTGACATCGAATGACCAATGAAGGAAAAACGAAGGAGACGGGACAAGGAGGCAGTCGTGAGTTTACACTTTCTCTCGTGCGCAGCAGCACCACCACACACGCCTGCTGCTCGGCTGGAGCCTTGCAAAATCACTTACTTTTTTTACGAACTCTAAATGCAATGCAAACGGGTGTAGAACGTGTACAATGTAATAACAAACAAACAAAAACCGTGCAGGGAATCGTTAACGAACCAAAGTTGAACGCTTTGAATGTTTACAGGAGGAGGAGGAGGGGAAAAAATGACGACACGCAATTTAAACAAAAAGGAACAACACCACGGCACCAGAATTGTTTTTTTTCCGACGGGATCCGATGCGTCGTGTTGTGCTCATGGGGAGAATGTTGAGCTGTCGAATGTCCGTGCGTGGTCGTTCGTTTCGTTGTACAGAAGCCGTTGTTGTGTTGTACAGACGCCGTTGTTGTGTTGTACAGACGCCGTTGTTGTGTTGTACAGACGCCGTTGTTGTGTTGTACAGACGCCGTTGTTGTGTTGTACAGACGCCGTTGTGCGCGATTGGCTGTTTACCCGGCCAGCGCTCCTTGAGGAATCTGCGCAAAAATGTTTACCGAGAAAAGGGGAAAGCCTCTTGATCATATCAGCGTCGGTCATTTTTTGCCTTTACCGAAAGTGATAGCTGAATTCCCGGAGTGGGGGGTGGGGGTTACGTACCACACCTACTCTGAGTGGAGGAGTGTGGGGGGTAGGCACCACACCTACTCTGAGTGGAGGAGTTGGGGAGTAGGCACCACGTCTAATCGGAGCTTAAGCACCACGGGGAGAGTGAACCCCCTGGCACTTTTGGGATGTGTTCCAGTTTGAGGTCAGAGTCCCGTGGCTGCGCCCATTTGACCCCGGTGGCAGATTCACGGCACGGGTTGCGATTTCCCGCAAATCGCAACCTGGGGGAGGGGGGGGGTTAATCTTCGAAGCGCGATTGAGGGCCCGATGCTGAAAAACTCACCGTGGCTAGCCGACATGAAGGCATATTTTTTTATTTCATACCAATTCTAGATAAATATTTTTTGGTATGAAAAGTTCCTTATTCGAGCTGTGTCGAGTACGGCCGTGGGAGCTTGAGGGCGCCTGCGTGCGTGTGCGATTGTTTTATTTTTCTCAAAGTGACAAACGCGCAGGATGATGATGACGACGACGAAGATGACAATGGAGACTTTCCCATGCGAAACCAATCCCCTCCAGCAGGAAAGAGCTGCACTTGGCACGGTTAATGTACGAGTCTGCAATGTGTGATGGCTTACCTACAGGATAGGGCTGGTCTCTGTTCTCAGCCCTTTGAGCACCCTTCATATATGCGTTCTATACTGTATATGTGTGTGCAACTCCGTACGTAGGCTGAACATGAAGTACTGTACTGTGAACAGTAGCATCATATGTATTTGTGTGTGCGCGCACGTATGTGTGTGTCTTTGGGGAGCGGTGGTGCAGCGGTTAGCGCGCTGTGCCACGAATCCGGCGACCCGAGTTTCAATTCCCGCTCACGGCCAACATCAGTGACGATTATCTGAACCGGTCCTGGGCCTCCCCTAGGTTGACTCTGCCTCAAATGAATACCCGGTGCGGTGTGCAAACATCGCCACTGGGGAGACAAAGGCGGCCTGGCGTGGTGTTGGTGGGCCACCCACCCGTTCGTGTGCCGAGTGAGCCTTCGTAGGTGCTCGCTAACAGCACTTGCCCCAAAATAGTCTGTTAAGGCTATACGGGGTGGGGGGTATTTTTGTCTTTGTTTTTTTTTGTACATCACTGACGCTCATCTCTTGCGTGCACCCCCTCCCATCTAAGCATTCTTGTTGTGCCACTGCTGAGCAGTGTGAATATTTAATTGAAGGCACGATCACACATCGGCACCTTGACTGAAAACACGATGAAAGCTCTGCTGAAACACAACCTGTCGTGGCAATCACAATGGCTTATGAAAGATTGAGTGAAATAGTACTCGTGTGCAATGACGTGGCCAATTATTGCCCTTCTGGAGCGGAAGCATCGAAGTTGGGACATTTATCAGTGGAAAGGGTTTGTAATATTTACCGAGAGATTTATACGTTAATTTTGAACATTTTTTTATAGGTACGTGTTGCAGATACACATATATGTATTTATATCTTGGTGTTCTTTTTAACACGATAGTTTAGGAATTAAAAAGGGCAATAAAAATAATAATTTTCACTATTATATTTGTTTCTCTAAGTCGGTAATAAGATAAATAGCAATAATACCTTCGTTTCATTAAGAATTCTGTTTAAATATTGCAACAAAGCTGATATGAAGTGCATTACAATTTAGGGCTGATGCTGTACGTACCTTTAGGGAAACATTGTCGGTCTTAACTCAGGGTTATACATAAAGAGAACGCGTGCGTGGCCGTGTACCCTAAGTCTGTTAACACTCGTGCATGACCTTTGCAAACACACCTGAACTCTTACCCTGGAATAACCTCCATCCCCGCCCCCCCTCCGTCTTGCAATTGCTGCAAACTTTGGCGCTCCCAATCCCGGCTGCGGGAAAGATGGTGCAGTCTTAAGGCCCACGACGCGCGATTTGGAAGGCAACCTTCTCCTCTGAGGGTCGCCGCCAGAAACGTCTTTTTACGGTGGCACAGAGCGATGGAGATCTGCCCTGCCAAGTGTGTGCCGGTGATCAATGATTGGCTGGCAGAGCGCACAACCTCGTGTAGTCATGTGACCTCTGTGATCCGTTTTGGAAGGTATCATACCAGTTGGCCACAATAGTGGGGAGCAGTGATTTAAATTTGTCCAGATTTGGGCAATTATATATTAGTAATGAGAACATTTTGTAAAAAAAAAATCATTTTTATAAAATTTCCCCAGTGTATTCTGCCATTTTTCTGGAACATTAAATGGACTTGCTTCGATCAGATTGACCTATATGAGGTGTACAGAAGGTCCCTCTATCATTCCTGACTGTTAACAGACTTTGGTATACTCCTTATTTAACATATCGGTTGGAGATAAGTCATGTATACTTTTTTAACATACCGTAACTACGATACCTGTACATTGCATAGTAACGTTGTGTTTATATAGGATGGTTCTGTTGGGTACTTGATGCATAACCATTTGTGTACTTTCTTCCTTAATATATATTTGATTACTGAAAACTGTGGATGTTTATCCTTTCTGCACTTTAAAAAAGAATAACTGCATTTTACATTTTTCGTTTATTCTCGTGGGAAAAGTATATTCAATTGTACACATGGTGTCACCGTTTTATCAGTCGTTGATTAAGGTTATATTTATTAATATTTCAGGGAATCCAATCTTATTTATGACGCTGCTGCTTTCGTCCGCCGTTTTGTGTGAACACCCCTCTGCGGACGCGGTTGTTATCCCGCATTCCTAAATCCGTGCTCGTGAAACGTTCATTGCATTTTGACGTTCTCGAAGGCCAAGCGGTGGCGATGGATGACGATGTCACAGTTCGTGGCTTTGTTGACGTTTGCACTGTTTTCGATTGTCACGGGAAGACGGACCGGAACTTTCACGAGGATGTTATCAACTAGACCCCCCCTAATAACGGACCACGTGTGTTCGGATGAATGTCACATCCATAAATGTGTACTCCGCTAAGTTTCTCCTTGCTCTGTTGGTTTTAAAAAAATCTCTAAAATCTTCGTTTTGTTTTGCTTACATGTATCTGCTGCTCGTAAAAAAAAAAATCCCGTCGTCGTTGATATAAATCATGGATCCATCATCGCCGTCGTCGTAAGCCATTGTCTATCCACTGCTTGATGAAAGCCTCCAGAATTGCGATGCCGTGATCCATCTCACAAACCCCATCTCATCGCTCCGTCTCCACGTTGGTCAGTGTCTCGGGTGCGTTCTCTCCGTTGACCGCCAGTCCACAGCGCCAGTCTTGTCTGCTGGAAACCTCCTCCTTTCGCCCATCCCACTTCACCTCCCCTGACGGCCAGTGTCGTCGTCGTCGCCGTCGTCCTCGTCACCGATGTGCATTTCTTCTCTGCTCGCCGTGCGCGTCGTTCTCTCGTTCAGCGCTCCGCGGGAGTCCGGAGCACGCATCTCCTCCATCCTCGCTGGCTCGCTCGTCGGCATTCGTTGGTCACGTTCATCCGCTTCTCTTCTGAGCGGGCACGCTGCCGGCCCGCGGGCGGGCGACGCGCACCGATCGTGAAGACTTGCCCGCCCAGGCGCGTTGCCAAGTTGCTTTTCATCTTC